CTACTTGAATCAATATCTCGGAAAAGTGAATCTCCAATAATAATTGAATTAAGTTAATCTGATTCAGATTCATATGGCGGAGCTTGCGGTGGAGAATGAGTGACTTCACATTGCTCTTCGGAAATACCAGGTGGTACATTTTCCATACAGCCATCGTTAGAACTAATCTTGGATTCAAGACTACGTATTCTGCTTTCCAAATCTAGTATATATTTGTTCCGTTGCACAAATATGTTTCTAAAAGCTTCCAGATCCTTTAATAGAGCATTAATTATAACTGGGGGTACTGGTGGTGTATCGTCTGCGTGGCCATCTTCAGTGGTAGTACCAATGCTATCGGTAACAATGGCGGACGCCATTGGTGCGGCACTTTCCGAAGGGGCACCGAATCTACGCTGATTACAAGATACACATAGTGGATAATCAGCTTTGCTCAAGTTAACTAACCTTGGATCGTCATTTCCACAGACGTTACACTTCATAGTGCGATGATACGATTAAACTGCTTGACAAAAACACAAGGGATTGCTCAGCACCCAAACACACATCAGCACGAAAGCACGAAATATAATATGCTACGTATATTAATAACTGTCTTTAAGTGTTACCCTACATGTATATGAAGCAAAAAAATTTTTTAAATATAACTTACGGTAATTATGGTCATTATGTCTCCAGTTATGGAACTAATTAATGCATTAAAAAATTATCGATTTAAATTGATTTTTTTCCATATTGTTAGATCTTTGTCATTTAGTTACTTTTTTGTTATTATTTACAGAAAAAAATTAATAATTGATATTTATACCAGTATTGTAGATATAATAGTTTATATTTTGTTTACGATGTGGATTTTGAAACAGATTTATTAGACATTCTCTGCTGTATTATTGTTACAATGCAGTGCACCTATAGTGCATCTGATCAGTAAAACTGAAGTGTGTTTGCTTTTAAATGGGAATGGCAGCTAATAAATCAGGTTTGGAGACCAGCCGTCCAGTAACACTATTAATAATTATTAAACCCAGGATACTGTCACATGATACTGTCACATGATACTGTGTTGTTAATTCTATTATAATTCTCAATATCTGAACACTAAATTTCCCAGTGATTTAATTGGCGAGATAGAATTATTTTTAAAGGGACATACTGTAGAATATTTTATTTTCGCTTGGAATTTATTTTCGCTGAAGGGATGATTACGTGAAAATAAAATACAGCGAATATACTTTTTTTTCCTATATTTCACATTAAACTCATCAAAAATCAGTGAAAATAAATTCCATACAAAACGCCCGAAAAACTTTTTCAGCGAAAATTTATTCCAGCAAAAATAAAGTATTCAACAGTATTCTGCATTTTTGCCAATTTTTTAATTGATGTGATACTGAGCCACAAGTTTGCAAAACTTTTTGTGAAACGTCACATGTTCACAGTGATGGAGGGACTGTGACATGGTTTAATTTGGCTGCCATTTTTGATTTCCTCAAAATATTAGTTTTTTAGCACATGCCACGTTTATCATTTTGAAGTTTGCCATCTTTATACCAAACTCCTTCAGACAGCAAACAAATAATTTAGATCTGTCACATGATTTTGCAGCCATCTTGGATATTCCCCCCAAAATAGCCACAATTTGGGGCGCATTTGTGTCTCGTAAATGCTTTAACCGATTAACTTGATATTTTTCATGTAGCATGTATGGCTAAAGCTTATTATTTGAAAAATAAAATAATTTTGATCAGTCACAGCTTTATCAAGTTCAAGTTTGAAGGCTGAATATGTCCTAATATGTACCCATTGATATATATGTTATTTTTCTCAGAAGATGCTTTAGTCAAACATGCTGTCGGTAAAATAGAAAGTTGATCGGTTAAAACATTCATGCGGCCATTTTTGTAGAAAATCCAAAAAGGCAGCCAAACCAGTAATCTTAATTCATATCACATAGAACGTTTTAGAATAAAATATTTTCAAAATATGCTGCTAATGGCCATCTAATAATTCCTAGGTGATCAAAACCGAGATGTTTAGTCGGTTTCTTCGAGATAGATTGGATCAAAAGAGAGATTACTATGCAATCATGGAGGAGAAAATGAGACTTGTTCTAAAGGATACTAGAGGCATCGTCATCGAACAACAGTGGTAAGGTTACTACGAACTTTTCAATATTACAGCTTCCTGTAAATTCATTGTACTGTAAAATACTTTATTTTCACTATTGGAAAAAAATTTGGTGCTCAAAGAGTTATACGTACCGTAAATATGATAAAAGTTTACCTTGAGGAACTAATGAAAGTGCTAGTTCATTATGCTTGAGAAGGTAATTCTTTTTTTTTTTTTTTTTACATTAATTCAACCAACATAATGTTATCTTGGGAGGAACATTATGGTATGAAAATATAAAAGTTGAAATAGAATTATATAAACTTTATCAGAAAATAAAAAGGTTGAAATAGAATTATTATAACTTTATCAGAAAATAAAAAGGTTGAAATAGAATTATATGAAATTTAATCTATCCATATTCTTTTTTTGAACATCATAAATTTTTTCTCAAATTTTGTAGCGCGAAATTAAAACGGTTTCTAGTTATTCATGTAAGCAGCCATATTGAAATGAGGCGGCGTGACGACTATAGTAATAACTTTTGTTGTTTTCTCAAGGCTCAGCAGGAAAGGCAGTAGTACCGCTAGCATGAACAGAATTAGAAGAACGTCAGATAGTGTTTACGTCCGACAGTCCAATAACACACAAGTAGATTCTTCAGAATTGTTTATATTACCATCATTCCAAAGTCCCCTCTTGTCAGGTAAGTCCTGTTCTCGTTCATATGTTGTGCACATATAATGTTGACATTAAATTCCTCATTTTATTAGACACCAAATTTTGGTGCAATATTTGCACATTTTGTTCTTTGCCTATAATTTCTGTGTTAATTTTGGGTCACATGGACATAGTTTTTTCATTGGCAACATGTCTGGATAAAAAAAATTAAAAAAAAAAATATTGTTGGAAAAAAAATTTTGCAGGTTAAAATCGTGAATGGTGAAAAATAATTGTCTTTCAACATTCATGTATTACAGGTAACAGTTTTTTGAATGATAACATTGATCTAACCTTTTCACCACCAGTTCCTTCTTTTCATCACAAATTCACAAAATAGTCCCGCTTATCGTCTGCACTTTTCTTCAGAAAATTGGGATAAAAAAAGCCAAATTTTTTGAGTAAAAACTGAGAATTGACTCTAATTTTGTTCGTTGGCTCCAAAATTAGGGTTCATTTCCAGAACTATTGGAGAATATAAGAAAAAAATGCAGAAAAATTTGGGCTAGAATTATTAAAGTCTGGTAGAGAAAAAAGCTAAATGTTGCTACGGAGAATAAATGTTTGAACTATACAAGAATTTGTAATAATGTCGTCTATTTTGTTGACAGAAAGAATGTGTTTCGACTAAAACATTCAGAACAATTTTATAGATTTCTAAAAGGGGTACACATCAATTTTGGTATTGTAGTTTTGTAATTATGGTCTCCATTCTGAAATAAACAGTGATCCAGTTGTAGATCAATTTCAACACATATTCATGCACATTAAAAATTCAACTTTAATTTACATCTTAGGTATTTTCTGGGAGAGATGTATTCTAGAGCTGAATAGAAGTTTGGAGGTATTTCAATAAATAAATACTATTACATTAAAGTGTTACAGTTGCTGAGCCGTGTCATATTTCATATGGTCCCATCAGTGTGCCCTCTAACAGGACTAACAGGAATGGAATTCCCCAAATTAAGATGAGTCAGCTGGAAGGGAGGTTTTTGAGAAAAAAAATTAAATTGTATACAGTGAGATACTTTATTTTAGCTGGAATTAATTTTCGCTGACAAGACTTTTTGGGTGCTTTGTATGGATTTTTATTAGTCCCCGTTCGGACGTAGTCCGAAAACGGGGACTTATGGTTTGCCCTGTGTGCGTCCGTGCGTCCGTCCGTGATCACCTGTATCTCGAACATACATGGACCAATTAAGTTCAAACTTCACTCATACATCACACATTATATGGGACATATGCACATGCATTTTTTTTATGATCCGATTAACGATTGCCGAATAGCGGCCATTTTAAGGCCGAAAATGCATGCACAAAAATGCACATTTTCACCATTCCGGACCCGGATCTCAGTTATGCATGGACGGATTTCGTTCAAATTTGGTACATACATTAAACATAATAGGACCTTGATGCACGTCATTTTTTTTTCCGGATCAAGTTTAAAATGGCCGACTGGCGGCCATTTTGTTTTAAAGAATTCAGTTCTGGATCCGTATCCGAGACATGTCTGGATTGATCAAGTTCAAACTTCACACACACAAGGTACATCATGTCACAAATATGTATGTGCATTTGTTTCATGATCTCATTAACGATAGCCAAATGGCGGCCGCTTTAAGGCCGAAAATGCATTGAAATCGCACATTTTCACCATTCCGGACCCAGATCTCAGTTATGCATAAACGGATTTCGTTCAAATTTGGTAAATACATTAAACATAATAGGACCTTGATGCACGTCTTTTTTTTTTCGGATCAAGTTCGAAATGGCCGACTGGCGGCCATTTTGTTTTAAAGAATTCAGTTCTGGATCCGTATCCAAGACATGTCTGGATCTGTATCCAAGACATGTCTGGATTGATCAAGTTCAAACTTCACACACACA